GTGCTCATAGGAGCAGCATCGGTAATGAGCATCGGGCAAACGGGAGCTCCAACCCCTCGACCGCAAAAAGGCAAGAAAAGAAAAGGGGAAAAGAAAACCCTAACCTTAGATGCCGCGAGTACCTGATATGATGTTGCTTCTTTAAAAATTAGAACACCTTTCACCAAACCGATCTGTCACTAGCCTGTCATCCCAGATCGAACTGCAGGTTGCAAGAAGAAAAGTTTTGCAACGACAAATGATAGTCTTTTGCGTCGAAAGTCCTCATACAAACACATGAAAAGATATTCAGGGCTGTCGGTTTTCGATTATTTTACTTTTCGGGGGGGGGGGGCTGGGCTTAAAGGGATCGCCGCCTTCCTCTTTCCTCAATTAAAAGTCTTAATGAGTTGGCGCAAGATTTGTAAACAAGCAAATAATCGGAAGATTGTAAAACATAATCACACAGCCAATTAGCTACTTGTTGGGGACCCCGCACCCCATTTTCCACGGCCATGAAAATTTAGATCTATTGGGCCGTTAACTCCCAAACGGTTTGAGACGTAAGGGTTCAGGATTAATAAAACAGTAACCTAGGTTTTATTCCTTTTCGTTACATTAAAAAAAAAAGAGTTTTGACAATAAGGGATTGCTAGTGTTTGCCCTCTAAAATGTTCACACCCCTTTGGAATCTCAGGAACTATGTAGAACTTTTCCCTGATCACTTCAAATACTGCTATTTTGACAATAAGCTTAGCCAAATCTCTACATACGAAAACGATCGTGTCATTTAAAAAATCGTTGATTTCTGGTTGGTTGCCTTGTTTTGGTACCACACTGAAGCGATCTTAAAAGTCTGTCGCCGATTTCTGACACCCTCCAATCTGCCCGTTCGGTGGATCGGCTGTTGGCCTCTCTCATTGAGTCGGTGCAGTGCAGCGCAGCGCGTCATGGGGAGGCAATCGCCTCATCAGCATTCAGAGCCGACTCATGAAATGCCAGAGAAATTTCTCATACATAATTGCGCTCTATACTCGCAATGCCGTGGCGGCGGCTCGGCTTTCCCCTACGACTGACGGCAACGGTGAGACAAACCGCGAGGTCATGTGCCTCCGGTGCCAACGCAACACTGATACGTTGCGAGACTTCGTCAACAAATCTGTCATTGAAGGAACGCAATATCAATATCGTGCGCCGACTCAACCCCTGCGTTTGTAAATATTAGGATTGGGTGCCCATCAAAGTTTTGATCAAGTAATTAAGTGGACTGGTGGTGATTTAGAGACACGCTCGCATAATGAAGTAATCGAAAAGATTCCGAACGCTGAAGGGCAGACTCCGCAGAACACCCCCAACAAAAGTACTTCGAATCAGATATTAATTTCGCACCGTGCATCGAGCAATTGCTTGTGGCAGTGTCCACGGCACGAGCTATAGAGGCTAGGCACAGTCCGGTTTGCCTATCAACAATGTCCTTTGTTCGTCAAATTCCGCTTTCACGAGGTGGACCTGGTCACGAGCGGCGGGGCGGGCGCCGCCGAGACTTTGACGCAACCGGCGACATCCGAGCGGCGCCGAGCCGCGCCACGGCCGCGCGCCGCCGACCGACAAATGAGGGCGGCCGTGGACCTGGCCAGCGCAAACAAAAAGGAAACATGAAGAAGAGGCAGGAGGTAAGAATCGGCGGTATTTTGTTTTGTCGCACGGCTTCTGAGAGTGAAAGTGTTTCATTACTTGGCGCCGCCGACGACAGATCGCAATGAATGAACACAGACCTGACCCAGCCAAAATGGGCACTGCGGCGGCCGCCCGCCCGCCAGTCTTCCTCCCTATGACTTTCCCCGGCTGGGCGCGGGCTATTTGAATCTGACATAAGTACGACTGTCCTAGGTGACCAACAAACAGAGCCCGGTTCTGCATTTTATGGGAAAGGACAATCTAGAATCCAGCGAAGATATTTGGATGCAAATTTGTATCCAAAACATTACAAGTTGAACAGCATAGGTACAAATTACTTTTTATTGTGTCTAGATTTTATTTGCATCCGATTGAGATGTGCATAGTCTGTCAATTAAAATGTGTACATGGCATGTTTGATTTGATTAATGTGTAAATGCCTATGCACACATTTATAAATGTGTACATGGGTATGTACACATTATTTAAAGCACACATGCCATGTAAACTTTATTTAAAGTGTACAATGTACACATTTGGATTGACAGAGTACGAACACACCCTCGGTAGAGACAGAATTGTCCTTCATCCCATAGTTCGCAAATGGACGCGCAGTCGTTATAACCCTAAGGTTGTGAAGTTGGATTTCGAGTGTAGGTTGTAGGTCGGCGGTACTTCCGACGGCAAGCCGAGCATGCGCGGGGCAGGGGTGCGACGCCATCAAAGTGCGATAATCTAAGCAGGGATTAAGCAGCGGGGTGAAACCTTCGACCGACTTCTAGATTTTGCGAGCTCATCCCGCGCACGGCCGGCGGCCAGCGGCTATAGCGGCGCTTATTAAAAAGTACTTTCAATCCTGATGGAGCATCGCGCGGCACGGCGCCAGCTGCGACCAACTCCGCAACATTCTCGCTTCTTGAGAGATGTTGCCAATATCAGCGGGCCTCTCCAGCAGCGTTGGGATGCCGGGATCAAGAAGGGCTTGATTACAGGGAGGAGGAGCTGCAAGTCAATGGCTGCTGGGGGCGTGGCTCCTGCGCGGCACGGCTCCCGCGGCAGTACGGCGTACAGCGCCGAGCCACGCCACGACCTCCCCGGGCCGCACGACGCCTCCGCCGCAGCCAAACGGTAAAACTCAAGATCACTCTGCAAACCCAGCCGACAAGCAGCACAAGACAAAAGTTCAGGGTTGTAACAGCTGTACGCCAACGAAAATGGGGTGAAAATGAAGATAAGTTTGACGCAATTCCATACACTTGCTGAAGATGTGCCTGTGATAATAATGGCCTGGATTGCGAGTGGTCAATGGGGACTTGTTACATTTGGTCTGCTCAGAAATAGTGGGAAACCTACAATACAATAATACACCAAGTGGACATTTCGTGAAACCCGGAGAGGCAAATTTTTATTTGCAAAATGTCGTCCACTCGCCCTTATCAAACAGTCACTCGCCGCACGATAAGATGACGAGACTTTCACCGGGGCAATGCAATAATGCAATGCGACCCGATCGTGAGGGGCTGTAATGACAGACGCACGGCGAGGCCTACGCGCCCGGCTCAGCAGCCTCAGCCGGCCTCAGACTGCCTCAGACCGAGGAGCCATGCGGTCTGCGGCACGTAACGGTGAGAGGCCGCGACGGTAGCACCGCACAGAGTACTGCAGTGCTGCCAGCAGACGTCCAGCGAGCGACGCCGGGGTCGTCGCCAGAGAGAAATTATTGTAGACGACTGTCAAATCTATGTCTAAGACCGTCCTTTCTCCGTGACAATTTTGCTTTTGGATCAGGATCACACGGTTTAAAAAAAGTCTAATTCTTTCAGGAAAAAAGGAAAACTTTAAGGACCCCACATCCCACATATATTTGACGAAAAACTCTTCATATTTTGAGGAGGTCTCCCTCAACATCTGAAGGGTGTTCCTCAAAAGCATGGGAGTCCCAAAAAATTTTTACCAAAATAATAAATTAGACATGGTTTTACCCGGTTTTACCCGTGGCAGTCTTTCTATGAAATGTTTTTGTTCAAGTAAATGGTTCGAGAGTAAGACTGGGAGACACATGCAGTCCCGCCTACCACACCAGTAGTGTAAGCATACGCGCCAGGAGCGGTAAGTTTTGCGCGGTACACAAGGCGGTCTACTTTCGCAGGGTATGGCGCAGCGGCAACAGCATTTCCCTGCGATACGGCGGCTCTCATATAACGGCGCATATGGAGAGAGGAGACCATCTCTCATGCAGAAAGCGTTGCGCAACAAGAGCGTGATGTGGTGCACCCTCATCCCGGACGTAATGCGGACTGCGATGAGTCCAAATGGCACACACAACAGCTCGGGGGATTAATGTTTTGCTCTTTGCGCGTCTTGCATCTGCGTTCACAGCCCCCACGGTTCGCGATAAAGTGCTGCGGCGCCACAGTAGCTGCATTATAAAGACGGTCAAACTTGTCGAGGGACACTTAGTGCCACTGCGACTGAGCGTCGTCATTTGGCCGCAGGTTACATCGGCAGGGGTTTGAAAGGCGCATATCGTTGTATTGAAATGCAGTCGGGAGAAAGAGACAGCATATGTGACAAAGTTGCCAAAGTTATCAGGGTACTGGTCACACTAAATCACACCCGAACGGAAAGGTTAATTTTCAAATGGCCCAACTTAATCCTAGACTTTGAGACTGCGCCGGTACGCTCAATGCCCAGCTCGCTCCTCGTGTCCTTACTTGACGCAACGAGCTCGGACTGCGGACGGGGGCCAGAGAGGCGATTCGCTTACGCAACGTGGCAATCCCTTTACTCCAATACCAGAAATTATACGGCGATTTGCGGGCGTCGATCGGCGTGGGACTGAGCTCAATGTGAGGAGGTGAGGCTCGAGGAGGAAGGAGGGATTCAGGGGGAAAAGGGGGGAGGGCAGCGGTCGGCAACTAAACCAGCAGCTCGTCTTGTCGTTCTTTTTTCAGCTGATGCCCCACTCTTTTTTCCCTTGCTTCTCCGTGCTTAGTATACCGGGTGTTCTAGAGCAGACACAACAGTGTTGCGGGGTGGCCTAGTTGCCTGAGCCGGAGGGGCCATGGCGAGAGGCGGAGCCAAACCCGCAACACTGCAGTGTCCACTCTGAAACCCCCGGGACAGGTATAATACCATCGGGTGGAACTATTGTTCTCAACACACAATAAACAAGTACCAGTACCAAAACACGCATAACAAGGCATAAATTAGAAGAAATAATCCGGTAGCCAAACATAGGCATGGGTCGCTTGGGTCTTATTTTCTGATTCTATATGGTATTGTGACAGAATAGAAGAAACAGGCAGATAAGCCGACAAAGAATAGGCACTGCCATACTTTACCTTATGCGAGTCGTTGTGCCCCGACGAGGACGCGTCCGAGGATGTGCTGAGCCTGCGCTGCGCCTCCATCCTGTCTGGGGCGGGGCTGGTGGCGGTCGGGCTGGAGGGGTCCTGGGCGGGCGACGCCGCGGCCGCCTCCCTGTTGCCCGGCATGGTCTCTGGGCGGCTAGGACATCCTGCGGCACAAGAACAAGAGCGGTGAAAAACAATTCAATTACTACACCATGGCGACCTCAACGCGCGAGGGCCACGAGGGCCGGCCGGCGCACAGGTTGCACACTCAAAAATGTTTGTTCTTCTTTTTCATTCTCCTTTGTGTACAGTGTTTTCTTGATTCATCATTTTATTGATTTGTTCGAGGAGGTTTGCCCTTGTGTTTGATAGAATTAAACTAGCAAAACAAAAAAGACTTTCACGAACAAATCAAGTATGAGCTTTTTTTGGGGGGTGGAGTTCCCAAAGAACCGACAAGCTGTTATTGCAGCTCAAATCAGAGGTAAAGCATCTGGAATAGCGTAAAGACAGCCAGCTATGCTTGAAATATGTATCGAGTCGGGCACAGCTTCGGCTCTAACATACGCGACCAGACAAGAGCCCAACATTTCCACGAAAAGCATTCCATCTAGTCTCTTTGTGCCTGGTCGGGCCCTGGGCGGCCCTTAGTTAGGCCCTCGATGCTGATCTGACAGACGGGCCTTGAGCAACGGCCGGTCCAGGCAGGCTTTACAGCCGCAACCAAACTACCACTTCAACGTCACGTTCAAACTTTCAACCGGCGGGAATGTTTGAGAGGTTTTCAATAAAAAATAAAACAATTTGCAACAAATCATGCCTCTAACTCCAAGGGCAAAACGGGTAATCACACCTGTCCAGGCATACAGCCACCTCCAGCACCACTCTAGGATGTTTTATAAAACAGAATTTTGTAACGTTTCGGGATGCCATTACAAAAAAGCTGCTATTTTGGCGGTAAATTGTTTGTGGAGCACAAAACTACCGGGCCGGTGATACATTGTGCAATACCTTCTCCATGTATGTCCCAGATATTCGCAAAATTGCTAGGCGCGTCGTAAAGGTAATATTGTTTTCCCTGCGGGTGCCTGCTGGGAGCGCCGCTGACAGCGCCGCTGGGCGCCGCGCGGCCCACAAGCGACGAGCTCGAGTTCCAGGCCCCGCCCGCCCCCTTCTTAATTAACACCACGAGGATGGCGACACGCCGGCTCTTTTCGGGTCCTGCAATAATAAGGACTCCCTTACCTAGGGCGCACGATAAATCTCTCCATTGCCCCCTCACCTTCCACTCCCGCGCGTTGCGCAAGCGCACCCCGCCCAGCCACCCGCCCACACCAGCCAGGGCTTGCCGCACACCGTAGGACTATTTACAGCTACTATGAACGTTATGGGCAGCCTGGTGTAACCACTGAGATATCTTGCGAAAATGCATGTAGCACGACGCCTTTTTGCGCATCGACACGTTACATACAAAATACACGTTTGTACCTAGCCTAGGTACAATTTTGTACCTCCATTCAGACGAATTTGTGTTTTATGATGATGTGCTAAAAGAAACATCTTGCTTTGGTACAAAAACTGTCCCTCCCCATTTAGAGTGTGCGAACTACATGAACTTATTTTACACACACCTACCGAGTTGCGCACTTGCAAGTATTCAACTTGTACTTGCACACTTACAAGTGTTAAGCAGTTGAACACTTAGTTTATCAATGCATTCACAAGCTTCTACGGTTAGCATGACAAATGTTCTCGATCAGTAAACCAGTTCATTCATAATTAAGGTTTTCCGTTTCCGTGCATTTCTGAGCGGCACGTGCTCTTATTTTGAGAAGGAGCAGATCCGCAATATGACTGCTATTTAAATAGACGATCCCATTGCGTATGGTGCACTCAGAGAACTGTCTTCCTTCTATCTTCTTAGCTCAGCGGAGCCAGAGCTGAAAGGGGGGTGAAAGGGCGAATGGCGACCTAAGGCACTGCAACGTGAACTAAAGCACACACGCACTTCATTAGCCACGGCGGGGCGGGGCAGGGCGTAGGGCGCGGGGCAGAGGCCAGGCCGGCAGCAGCGGACAGTGACGCAACACGAGACCCAACAAGGCAGAGGGCAGTCCAGGATGTAGTGAGTGCGCTGCGGTGTGGTTATGATGGTTGTGGTTGGGGAGGTAGTTGAAGTTGAGAACCGAGAGCCGTTTGCTTGGTCTCTGTGAATGACAAATTTTGTCTCTAAGACATTAGCAAAATTTTGAACTTAAAGGGAAGTTCCAAACTAATAGGCAATTAAGGAACCACTGCGTTTTAAGTGGATGTTGGTTTGAGGTGCAACCAAGACTGCGCATTGCCCCTAGTGTAATACTCCATTAAGATGAAAATGATTGTAGAGTAAAGTACGGATATCCCCAGTTGCCTCACGCCGGACCTCTGAACTGAACAATAACTTCCGACTTTGCGTTCTCCCCGGCCCCAATGCGCCCCGCCCCGCCCCGCCCCGCCACTTTCACGCTCGGCGGTTCGACAAAAAGGCGGGCAGCGCAGGCAGGGGGCGCCACTGCAGAGCGCGGGGCGCGCGGGGCGGCGCTGCCCCAGTTTCCCTCCTCGCTGCACTTTGTGACGTCACGAGTCGTGCGTGCGCTAAGCGCTTCCTTCCCGCGGCACCCCGCCCCGCCCCGCCCCGCCCTGGAATGTCTCAAATGATAGATTGGAGTGGCACGGTAGCTGCAGTCGCGGCCGCCGCGCCGCGCATACGCAGCATAACAATTCGAAGAAGCAGCGCGCAACGAGGTTCCCGACATTCTCATTAACGCAGTGAACGGGAGCCGCAACATCATCAGCACACCAAAGGACGCGGCACATTTTTTTTTTGACAAGCAGAGGAGAGCGAGCGAGATGGAGAGAAAATCACGTAATTATGAAAAATGATGTTCACAAATGAAGAACGGTATTGCAGATTCGCAGATTATCGTTACATTTAACCGAGTCACCGGACAAAATGACATTATTTTCCCGCGCTTCCAGACTTTTTTTGCCTCTCCCCCCTCACGTTTCTTCTGTCGGTCGTCGGCTCAATTTCTCATAATCGCAGTCGCAGCGAAAAGATATCCTCAGGCGCAACGAACATCACGAACGTGCGCGGGGCGTGGCTCGGTGCGTGGAGAGGCCTTGGGTAGCCATTTCACAGCCGGGGTCATAGGTCCGCGACCGGCGGGCGATTGAGCCGTTTAAGGGGAAACTCCTTTGCGCCACGCGGCGCCACGGGGCCCATCGGCCGGGGAATCGTTATCCAGGACGAGGCTCTACACATACAGCCTGGGGGGAGCCGCACAGGAATGCTTCAGTGCGGTGCCAACTACAGACACGAAAACTCATCATTTGGTGGACTTTCCTCCGACACAAAACATAAAGTGTTATTACATTACTTAATTATACTATCTATATTTAATCCCCCACGCCACCCGCAATTTAAGTCAAGTCCGTCACAAAATAATTCCGATAAGATCATAGATGGCTGTGATATGCTGTGATGGACATCGGCTCACAGACAAAAGATTCAGCAGGCTTATAAAGTGCAATACACATCGCAATTTTAAATTGAACGTTAGGAGATTGACAAGGTAGGACGATGTACATGTAAGAGTATGCCTGAGTGACCGTATATATGAAATATTCTGAGCATAACTTATGAAAGCCCGCATACAAAAATGAAGGCATCTCCATAATTGCACTCATGTAAGGATTTCTACAATTACTTCAATTAGCTTGAGGCAACCTTAGATAGGAATATCAATTCGTAGTCATGCGCAAAATCCGAACTTTGGTAGATTATTTAAAAGAAAATTCGGTCTGTACATTTTGGCCTCTGACGCGAAAAGACGCCGACGCCCTTGTCTATACTTTCGGCTCAACGAGTAGGAGCTGTGCAGGGGAGCAGGAACCCACCAGCGTCAGGACCTAACTGAAGCGTACTCTTGGACTGGGCAGTGGATGAGCGCGTGTACACCGGACTGCCCCCCCCCCCTCTCCCCCGAGTCTCTCTCTCACCAGGAGAACAATGGCGATGGCACATCTACAGCACACCGGATGCGGCCAAACACCCGGTGTACGGGTACGGCGCAGAGCGGTCAATTTGAACCAGATGGTCGGTGTCTGGCCTTCCCTTCCGCCGCTGGACAATGTGAGTCAGGGACCCGCTCTGGACACTGCGCGAATAGTCTGGATAAACTTGAACAGTCTGTGATTAAACCCGGACCGCACACACAAGCAGCCGTGAAGATCGCCGTGTGGTCCTGTGCTACAGTGGGAAGGAGCGGGCCGCACTTTGCATTCTCCGCTAGAGACAGCCTTGAGGGATGTCTGAAAAGTGTTATCATGCAATTGATGTTGACAGGGAGTGAATATTTTATATTAAGTCGCAATAAAGTCCAAAAACGAGGCTCATCATGGGAAGGGTAGAAAAGAAACAAACAATACTATTGTCTACACGAATTTTTCCCTTCTATACTGCTGAAAAATAGTTGGAAACAGTCCTTAATTTTTAAAAAATGCAGGATATTATGGGAATTGTCTCCTTATACACGTCAGACCGTCAGTGTGGATCGTTTTTGAAATCTATGATTTAACATGGGAGCGTGACCATACAGTGGCGAACATGTTAAAAAACCGTTCCTGTCCGAGAGGCCACAGGTACCACATAGTAACTGGACAGGTACACGACTAGAAATAGGGCGATCTAAGGAGTCGGGAGGTAAAAGGTTTCTTCTGGTGCGCCAAAATCCACTATGGACAATAAAACTGAAAAATTAAAGCTACAAAAAATAAAAAACGAAGAAAGGAACAGGTGAAGTGAGGTATAAACCTCTAAATATCCTTGGCAGGGACAGGTATCACACTTCAACACTTCGCAGAGCTGGTATTTTCCCGCCACAATACATTACGTTTATTTACGACGAGGTCGGACTCTCGGACGCATCGGCCCGCGAGGGGATTCGCACTGCAACGGACAGCCGTAAAACTGGATTTGATCGCTCGCGCGCAGCAGGCCGGCCGGCCGGTCTAGCCTCGAGTAGGGTAATTTTCGTCCCGTTACAAGACAGCCAGGGTGGAAGGGCCGGGCAGCGCGCCCCTGCGATGTAGGCCACAGGCCACCCGTTAGACACACGCGCAC